CAATTTTTCTAGTCTGACTGAATTGTGCAATCCTATCTACACCAGCAGTCACATACCCACAGACATGCTGAAATCCACCTTCATCCCTATTGCAAAGAAAGCTAAACCTGAAAATTGCAGTGACTTTCGGACAATTAGTCTGATGAGCCATGTTACCAAGTTGCTGCTCAAAGTTATACTACACAGAATCACGACAAAAATAGATACAGAGATTAGTAAGTTCCAAAGTGGATTCAGACTTGGTACTGGAACCAGAGAGGGAATATTCAACCTTCGCATCATCTGCGAGCGAGTAATCAATCTACAGAAAGATGTCTATATTTGCTTTATTGATTATAGCAAAGCTTTCGGCCGTGTTAATCATCAGGAATTGATCACAATACTATCCGATATTGGAATAGATGACAAGGATCTCCAACTTATTTGCAAGCTGTTAACATCTGAATTTGACATCAAAAGAGGAGTAAGGCAAGGTTGCGTGCTATCTCCTAGTTTCTTCAATTTATATGCAGAGAGACTTTTCAGAGCTGTAGAAGATTTCAAGGGAATTGTTGTCGGTGGCATCAGTATAAACAACTTAAGATATGCAGATGACACAGCTCTCTTAGCAGAAAATGAAAGTGACCTCCAGGATCTACTAACTGCTGTTAATACAGAAGGTGAAAGATATGGGATGAAGATCAACGCTTCAACAACCAAGGTAACAGTAATCAGCAAGAACGAAGTGATCCCAGTTGCCAACATCCCCCTAAATGGCACTGTATTGCAGCAGGTTTCAAACGTGGTTTACTTGGCCACATGATTACCAGTGACGGAAAATGTGAAACCGAGATCAAGAGGAGAATTGAAATCGCCAGAGGAGTCTTTGAGAATATGTCAAAGATATTTACATCTAGAAATATATCAGTTCAAGTTCGCCAAAGACTGGTACGTTGCTATGTCTGGTCGACTCTTCTTTATGGCGTTGAAACTTGGTCAGTTTCAAAATCTGCAGTGAAGAAACTGGAAGGATTGGAAATGTGCGTCTACAGACGAATTTTAAAAACATCATGGAGAGACAAGATAACGAATAAAGAAATTCTCAAGAAAAAGAAAACAGAAAGAATGCTAGTCAGATCAATTAAAAGTATAAAACTAGAATATTTTGGACACGTAATAAGGAAGGACGGTCTACAAAGAGAGCTACTTGAAGGAAAACTGAATGGCAAGCGTGGTAGAGGCAGACCAATGTTGGAATGGGTAGACAATATCAAGGAGTGGTGTACATTGAGGTACAACGAATGTGTAAGGCGGGCTCAGCAGAGAGAAAATTGGAGGTCCATGATAGCCAACCTGCTCCGAGCAGAAGACACCAACAGGTAATAGGTAGTGTACTATGCGGAGCTCTACTAATTGCTACACTCTTAAAATTCAAGTGTTAAAATCCAACACTTTATGGGTGTCATGAGTTTTTTAACACCCAGGGTGTTGGAAATTGTGTTGAAGTGTTACAAGGTGTTGCATTCATAACACTTTGATTAGGTGTTAAGCAACGCTTTCACAGTGTGCATGTTGTAACACTTGAAGTAAGTGTTAACAGCGCCGCCATCGCTAAGCGCGCGGCTAGATTCAAAATTTTGAAAACGATTGCCATATTGGAATCGCGGTTCGAGTTTGCGAAGTTACTTGGAACTTGGAATAAACTTGACTGTGGAAAGTAAGATAAGATCTGATTGATTAATTTATAATGAACTTATATTTCATATTCACTTAACTTAGGCCTAGCATTATTAATTTGTGTTCGCAATTAGGCCTA